GGGGGGGGGGGGAGGCCCTGCGGGGCAGTCCCCCGCTCACCTGGGCAGCGGCCACCTGGCCGTTGCTGCTGCTCTTGGCCGAGCTGGCCGTGGCACCGGCCTTGCTGATGCTGGCCAGGGCCTGGCGGGCCTTCTCCCATTCGGGATTCTCGTGCATGGGCGCGTCCATGCCGCCCTCCCTGGCCGGCCCGCTCCCCAGGCTGTACTGGGCTGCCCTGCGACAGGGGACATGACCTCATAGACTTATGGAACTCGGGGCCGCCCCGGACCGCCCGCCCGGCCCCCCGCCCCGCCCCCAGACCACTCACCACTCGGCGCTGCGCTGGTCACCCACATTGGCGGCCATTCGGACCTCGGGCTGGGCACGGGGGGCCCGGGACGGCGGCCCCCGTCGCGCTGCGGGGAGAGCGGGGAGGTGAGGCGAGGGCGCCCCAGACTAAGGACGGGAGGCAGCGAGGCTGCGCTTCCAGAGGCGCGCTCGCTCCCACAGCACCGTCCCCGCCACGGGAGCGCGCCTCCAAACCCCAAGGCCCAAACTGCCCGGAGAGGGCGGGGGCCGCGCATGCGCAACGGCGCCTCCGCGACCCAAACGCCCGAGCGGCCGACGCCGAACGAGCGCTGCGCATGCGCGCTGGCGCCACCACCCCCGCCGTCGAGGCGCGCTCCGCGGCCGTTGGCCCGGGCCCGCGAGCGGAGACGGGGCCTCGAGCCCCGGCGGAACCCCGAAGGCGCCCGGAAGCGCCGCCGCCGCATCCCCCGCCCCACTCCCGCGGCCTGCGCCCGCGGCCCGGCCCAAGATGGCGGCACCAGAGGCTAACTCACCTGACGGCGGCTTCTTCCTCCGGCGCTGAGTCCAACGCGTGAGCGGCGGCAGCGGAGGAGGAAGGGACGTGGCGAGGGAGCGCACGCGCACAACGTCAGCACGTCGGCGTGCGCCCCGCCCCGTAGCCATCGCGGGGGCCAATGGGAGGTTCCGGACCAGGCCCTCTCCCAAAAGCTCCCCTTCCGGAGCGACCCTTTAAAGGACTCGGAATGACGATCAGAAGGCCCAATGAGAGGTGAGAACTTTGATGGCCCGCCCCATGCAGGCACGCCCTCCCTTGCTGGAGCCTGAGGTGGAGGAGGGGAAAACCAGGAAGCCTCAGCCAATGAGAGCTGGAGAGGCCGCAGTGAGCCCCCACCCCCACCCCACCCCCACCCCGTGCAAGCCACGCCCCAACTGAACTAGGGTAGAAGAGCAGGCTCAGCGCTGAGCATTTGAGCAGGGACCTTGAGAGAGAAAGAAGCCGGTGAAGGAGAGAACCCGGACCGTGACCCGAGGGGGGAGGGGGGGGTGGCACAAACACAGGAGACCCGGGCACTGGGGAGGGGGCGCAGACAGAGGAGACCCGGG